GCCACTTTTATACTAAAATATAACGTCAATATTCATTACCCCAAATTTCAGCTTGCTAGCTTGACCCGTTCCAAAAATAAGCAGAGGGGTGCCTTTAAGAATAGCAGTGTATATACGAGTGGTTCGTAGTTCATTAAATTTATATTTTTACTCCAGCAGCTAAAACCTCAAATTTTCATCTATATAATATAAGGCCGGCACAGTTACTATATGTGGAATCAGTAAAACAGCGACTTTTATTTCCACAGAAAACATACATATCTAACAAGTGCTAGTTTATTTGGTAACAGTTTTCTGAGAGCTTCGTCATACGAAACAGGTATTGCACGGGAAACTCTATATTATACCCCATAACTTTCGGATAGAAGTTTTTTCTTCTAACCGGTTATACAGAAAAGTTTGAAGGGGTTCAATTTGTAGCGGGCATTGTTGGAAAAATTCGCAATTCGAAAGGGGCTAGCATTCTGTTCCAAAGATCGAATCAACAATCCCTAGATTTTTTGTTGTTCATATTAACTTTTTTCTCTTCCTCTTCTCATCAACTCCTCATGACTCCACTGACTGATGTTCCAGATCTGATGTATCAATCATGCCGAACCAAAGGCATAGGTGAAAAGTCTTGATGGCCGGATTTACAAAAAACAAAATTGCCTTAAGGAAAACACGGCATAGCTAGGTGGCTTAAAAACGATTTACAATATTTGGCTGCTTTACGCTTCTCTGGCCAAATGAAGCCGCATAACAGTCGTATATTTGGAGTAAGGGGTAACACCGGTAACAAAACAGATCACGTTCTGCGCAAATTTGACAATTTTGAGGTGAACTAATACTTTTTCGTGAGTCCAGAAAAGTGAGCTTCTAGGTCCAAAACATTAATTCCAGCTACAGACATATAGAAACACAATATCGTCGTTATCATCGATTTTCTTGCTTTTCGAGTAAATATCGATATGTGTGACAAAAGTTGTGTGAGGGTTTTGAAACCTGTAGAGGGTAGCAAGCTGAAATTTGGTGCGATGAAATTGATGCATGAATACTATAAATATTTTAGCTTGAATGGCAGTGGAATATTTCAAGATGGTGGCTGGCCGCCATTTTGTAACACTTTTCCAAATGGGAAATCATGTGATACTCCATTTTTAAGCCCTTTATGAGAACTTTATAATCCTAGAATATAAGATCATCAACTTCCAAATTGGCGCACTGACAGGCTGTCAAAGTTGAATGCTTTTGTACATTGGGCTGCCTATAACTCAACAACCAATCATCAAATATACAATATATCAATGTTTTCCTATTGGAATTTACTACCGGAATATGTAATAGAATTCGTGATAATTTATTAAAAAAATTTCAAAATATGTCAATCTTTTTAAATCCTACATTTTCATTCTAAAGAAGAACATTGATATAGCCTACTATAAGGTTTTGATGATTATATGTTGAGTTATAAGCGATTCAGTATGCAAAAACTCGACTTTGACAACCTAGGAATGAGTCATTTTGCAAGATAGTGTTTTTATATTCTCGGGTTATAAGGTTGCAAGGAGCTTTAATATGAAGTATCACAATTCCATTAAAAAAATGTGATAAAATGACGCTCAGCCACCCTCTTGCAACTTCCAACTGTTATGTTTAAGTTAAAATATAGTAATCATGTGCCAAAAATAACGAAATAGGTTCCTACAAATACAGGTCCAAAGATGAAAGATACGCTGAAGTCTTATTTACGAAATTGAAAAGAAAATTTCATCCTCGGAACGGTAAAAAATATGAGTTTTAGACATTCAGTGAGCACATAAACACACAGAGTTTCTCGGCCCAAGCTGAACCAGTTACGTAGTAACTGGGGTACCTAGACACCTAGTAGGAAATATTCTTTTACGCCGTTATTCTTTTTGGAGAATAATAATAATAATAATAATAATAATTTATGCGGTATCCACTATTACAACTGCATGAGCATGCAACATAATATGCTCGAATAAATAAGGTACCCACAAAAAGGATCATACATTCCTTGTGCGTGGGTGGTAATTGCTGACTAATTACTAAGGAATACACAACATATACAGGGTGTCCGCAAAGTTGGGGTTTTCCTTTACACGACGTGTAGATCTTGAAAACATAAGCAATTTTTCTTAGTACCATATTCACCAATGTCGTAAGGGAACCGAGATAAAGGGCTCTGCAACATCAAAAATATCTGAATACCGTCCTGTAGCCGCGACATCTCCGCGTGGTACTACGACACTAGCTCAACCCGATGACAGAACTGGGTCGGGGTCAGTGTGTCAGGTCAGTATGCAACCTTCAACCGACGGTTACGGTCACGCGTGTAGAGGTAGACGAACTCGTATAATCGATTGCGTTTCAAAAAACAACAAGCCCTAGAGACGTGGCTAGAGAAGTGCAAGTATCAAAAACTAAAATGTGGCAAACGCTGCGTGAAGAGGGGCTGTATCCGTTTCACGTCCAACGTGTACAAGCCCTTCAACCTGACGATTTTCCAGCAAGAGTGCGGTTTCGTGAGTGGTTGTTGCATCAACATGTCAATAATCCGGACTTTTTTGAAGTACATGTTGGTGACAGACGAATCTACGTTCACGCGTAATGGGGTGAATAACTTTCGCAACACTCATGTTTGGTTAGTAGAAAATCCACACGCTGTCCGTCGGATACATTTTCAACAAACATTTTCGGTGAATCTTTGGGCTGGCATGGTGAACGGTATGCTCATTGGACCATTTGTTCTCCCAAATCGATTGGACAGGATGCAATACCTAGACTTTTTACGCAACATTTTGCCTTCCTTGTTAGAAGATGTGCCATTAAGTGTAAGAAAATCAATGTGGTTTCTGCACGATGGTCATATTTGTTACCTCTGTTGGTGGTCTACTGGTCATTTTCTGTTGGAGCGGTATGATTTCGGGCAGAGAAGTACTTAGCCCTTCTCGTCAACTGGAGAGTGAGTACTTTTTTCTTTATTTTTTTTTACTTGGTCGCCCTCGTTTCACTACACATTACCTTTGTTATTTCAAGGGTAGTTGTTTCTGAAAAGGAAAACCCCAACTTTGCGGACACCCTGTATAGAAGATAATATTGTACATTAACTGAAAATATGAACAGACAAATAAAAGTATGCTAAGTAAGAAAAACCTAAGTTTTAATTACTATTAGTGATACGATAGACAAAGACATACACAAGTAAAAAAATACATTTGTTGGAACGATAGTGATTGATTTTATGAGATTATGGGCTGGTGAGTACATTTAGGATGCATCTTGTTTATTTCACAGCATTGATTTCATGATTATGTCTCAATCAGGGATTAGATTTGTCAAAGTTACGGATTTTATTGTTTTACTGTTTTAGATAGCTATTCTTAATATCAATCGTATTATGGAAGAATGACCAATTTGTTGACAGTATCCATTTCTTTACGTCAGTCTTGAATCTATATTATTTTTCTTCTTTATTTCTGGTGGTAGTAAATTATAAGATCTTGGGGCTAAGAATGCGTATGATCTTTGTAATATGTTTTTTTCTGATAATGGTACTCGTAACTTGTCTTTGTTTCTTGTGTCGTAACTGTTAGTGGTGCAGTCTACTGCGACCTTGTTTTTGTATTGTTCTGTGACGATCTGGAGGAAGCATGTTTGTCGAATGTCAAGTAGTTTAGTTTCTAGATAGATCATATCGCTAGAGTAAGTCCTTGGTCGATTATATATTGTCTTGAGTATCAGCTTCTGGATTTTCTCCAGCTGATCTACATATGTTTATGAGTCTTGTTAGCAGATCCCCAAACTATTATGCCATAATTAATGTGACTTTCCATTAATGCGTAATATATTAGTCTAAGTGCTGTAGTGTTAGGTAATTCTTAAGGTGTCTAATTTTATAAACAAGAAATCTAAATTTTCTCACTACATGTTCAATGTGAGTGTCCCAACGAAGGTGTGCATCTAACATATAAGAACCCAATATTTTAATTTAATGGTTCTGGTAACTGTTTTATTACTGATATCATTTAGCTGTTCGTAGGCCGGTACGTATTTGATATAGGATCATAAAATATGTTTTGTCGTAGTTAATATTATATATATTATATATTGTTTCCACTTTACAAGTTGAAAATATAAAATTGTGTAGAATTCCCCAAAAAGGCATAAAACAAATAAGTGCCAGTTACCAATTTCATAGAGGCAAAATGACATTCCCTTCAATATTGGGCCGCCTAAAATTTTGGAAAACAGATCCCGAAAATAAAATTGAAACCTTATGTTAATACCTCAACACGTTGTCTATTTAAACGTTCAAGAATGAATAACGGACATATCATCGCCTTGACTTAATTGGTCTAACCCCTTCCCGACGACCAAGTTCTATATACGCCCCTGCCACATAAAGTAACCATTTTATATATATATTATTTTTACATTCTCATGTGAACCCAAGCATAAGTTCAAAGTTCTTTGGGTATTGTATGTGTATTGTAAACGATTTTGTGCATCCACGTTATTCCAATAAATAATAAATATTTTTAAATTATTAATATTGTCATTAATCTGTATTCTGAACTCTGAAAAAGACCGAACCGGCAGTGAATAGTAATGTAATTCTATCAGCATAAAAGTAGAATACAGCTGCATTGGGTTAGCCGCATACACCTTTTTTTAGCCAACAAGTTGCGTAAGACAATAATTGATAACATCCTGTGTTGTACTAAATTACTTATAAAAAAATAATTCCATGCACTAAGAAACATCAGCGTCATGACAAAAAAGAACGCCGGCACATTACCTTTCACAAAGAATCAATTGCCACCTTGCATCGGCCGGGCGTGGCCTTCCTAAAAATAATGCAGTTTTGTCTCTGTGTTCTAGATCGGACGAGTTTTGCCAAAAACTTGACCGATCATTCAAGGGAGAGTGGGTAACTTTGCGCGACTATAAAACATTGGTAATGGCCGACGATAAGGCATATTCCCTTGAGTTTCGTCGACATATCAACTATGGCATCCAAGGTATGTACTGAATTTTGGAAATTATTGTTAATTTTATGAAACCCGGAAATGCTTTAATTCAACAAGTGGTTCGTTTGGGTGTCACAACATTTTTTTACTCGTCAATGTTTTTTCGGAAGATACAATTTCGGATCACGTTTGTACAATTAATTATGTTTCCATAACGAAAAATCAAGTCATCAATGTCATCTTTGTTGCAAAACATTTTGCTTTCTTACAAAAAACTTAACTTTGACTACTTGCCAGATTTCCATTTTGAAGGATATTTATTTTATGTTGGAGTTATAAAGGAGCTTTAAAATGAGGTATTACATGACTATTTCAAACATATCATGCATTATTTTCATTCCCGGAATTTCAGCGCTCTGGCTTGATACGTCCAAAAATGACTAGAGGACCATTTTGGAAAACACTGTAAAAGCATTTTTAAGCTAATAATGAGCTAGTCTATACTTTCAGCAGCATGTACAAAATTCTAATTCTAAACTTTTTTATTAAGCGTCAAAACTGGAAAAATCACTTTTTCGCAAATATTGGAACAGCTATGAGTTATTCGTGTATGTGACCCAAAAAAGCAACCTAAAGACATACTGTCAAAAAAACTAGATACTTGTTCGTTAGGAAAAATATGCGTACCTTTGGCGGCGCCTTTTTACATGGTTAAATTGGGTATTTCTTTAAATACGATTCTAAACTGAATTGTCATAAAAAAAAACATTAAAAAGTAGTAACAGAAGTCTGCAGAAACGGTTTAGCATTTTTGCATGATTTTTTTTTAAGTTAAACACGTTTGGCTATTATTTTTGATTTACCGTTATGCATTTCTCGGTAAATATAAAAAATGTCGGTTTTCAACGTTTTTTTTAATAAAAAATCAATGGTTACAGCAAGTTGGCCGTATAAGGTCTCATTCTGGACGTATTTTCATCAACTACAACTTTTTTGGACCATTTTAACAATAAACCATGACTATTGGAACATACGCGAAAAAGTGATTCTTACAACTTTGACGTTTAACAAATGATATTTTTTTGTATCTTTCATATACCATCAATAATATAACTTCATCTTAGAATAGTTTATGACATTCTTTTCTAAAACAGGGTTGATTTTTTGCTAGTTAGATGTATATATCTTGCGCTGAATTAGGGGCAACCTTAAGAATGCTATGAGTCATATAAACACCTTATTATAACTCCATCAGCTCTTTCAATTTCAAGTCTCAATGGGAATATAAACTAACAGTAACCTAACACTTTTCACAAACCCTACTTCATGCCATAGCCGTCTGCAAATTCAATATCTCGAACTCTACCGTTCTTGCAGTTACAATAGTGGTAACAGGGAAGCTATGCCGTGTCTACGTGAAGTAATCAAAGTCATGTAACGCTTGTCATGATATTCCTAACGCATCTGAACCTTTACAATTTCTCAAACGATTTTAGTGATGAAAACTCTCATTGGAATTTTTTCCTTAAGATCATCTCGCTCAACTACCAAACTTTCGCTTGACTTACAAGAGATTTCTGTTTGCTATGAATTTACAATGATGGAACTCTGTCTCAGACTTTCTTGAAAGTAGCTAGAATCCTTCAATTTTTAAAGACTTCCAACAACTCGTAGATCTAACACATAAACAAGCAAAGATGAATTAGCTAGCAGTCTGACATATCTAAAACCACTGCAGATTTCACACCCTGTTTGAACTTATGTATACATTTGTGTAAATTAAAAAATAAGATAAAGGACTTGGATAGGTGAATTGCTTCAGTAATTTTGCCAATAACTGAAACAATTGTAGCCGTCAAAACAAACATCAGCGCGCGATGTTCGCGACGGCAGATTCGTGCTTTTATTAGCCAGCGGGCCTAAATGCCTGGGCAGGCAGCAACAGACGAATAAAAGCGTCATTCGAATGTTCATATCTATTTTGGCGTGAAGGAAGCGGTTTATATAGATTTGAAGTTCAAGTATTACAACAAAATCAACTACTTTCGCTGTTTACTAATTATCTTCTATTATTGACACAATCTGAGAAAAGTAGCAAACTGAGGTATGGCCCCATACGTTCAGGAGCAATACAACCCATTTTAGGGTTACCTTATATATATTCCAACGAACATTTGCTTTCAGTTTATCGTCTTCGCCGCTGTGATCGCAGCAGCCCGTGCCGGCTTCTTGGCCACCCCAGTGGCTCAGCCCCTACAACGCGCCGCCCATGGTGCACCCCTGGTCCACGCCCCTGGAGCACCCGTCCATCATGCTCACTACGCCGCCCCTCTGGCAGTTGCCCATGCCGCCCCAGTATATGCCGCCCCAGCTACTCCAGTACAAGGTAACAAAATCTTTTGAGATGAAAATTAAGGTGCCCTCATTTGTCGCGACAGCGTCCGAGCCTGCGATTTATTCGTGATACTATTTACGTAGCATTGATGCATAAAATCTGTCACTGCCACGGTGTTAGTTTACAATACTAAAATTATATTAAGCGGCTGAGAGGTACGAATCGGTTTTATGCTTGGTCACTGTTATTGTCTCTTGTCGCGATCTCCCCACGACTCGCGAAAGGTAATCTCTATAGTTCAAAAAGCATTTCATTAGTGCCTTAATACGAAGAATTTGTAGAATAAGTAATTATTGATTTTGATATATTGTTCAGCTCACCCAAAAGCTAAATCATGATAGTTACTAAACTTTTGATGCCGCAAATGTATATATTCTCATCGCTTATAGATGTCATGGAGGTGAATAGTCCGTGAGCTGTGTGCCAATGTTAATGAAATACAAATAATACAGAAATCCTCTACACTAGGATAGATTATCATACTCAGATGGCCTTTTGTTCAAACGGTGCTTTTTCACAACCTTATTGAGAGTTCGAAAACAATTTTCAAGATCTTTTCAATTGTGCACTATTTGAAAGAATATCTGTGGGGTAACAGGAACATCAAACTGATAATATTAATGGACGACTAAGGATCTCTTATTCTTTTGTCTCTAACGCATTTTTCAGTGTCGGGTTTGTCCATAAAGTGGTAGTTAACTGTAACCAGCCCATCTACCGTACGAATCTTATTTAGAAAACCTACAAAACGTCAAAAAAACCTATAAAATGTCATCTAGAAGACTGGGTAGTTTTTCGGGTGCAAACAGTCATTCCACGTTTGTAGAATCGTTGTGAGCATCCATCTATTGAGGAATGGCTCAACTACACGCATTGCTGGTTGCATATGTTTTCTGAAGCGTAGTAGTCTAATAGTTCTAGTTTGCATGTATATAAAATCAGTGATATTTGCTGTGTGAGAAAATTATTACTAAATATACTGAGAATGACGTATATCTATTAGCTGTACCCGACGGGTTATTTATATGTTGTCCTTTCTGAAGAAATGATGTTCAGAGTTATAAATTACGATTTTTTACATTTTATTTTGGGTCTTCAAAACATTTTAAGAGAATTACGGGAAATAACCACCGCATCCGCTTTGTGTATAATTACTGTTTGCATGTATATGACTTGTAATTGGTCAGTGTACACTGAATATAATTATTTATTCTCTCTCTTTATTTTGAAATTGAGCAAATTTGCATATGTAATTTTCAGAATGGTTAATGAAAATGTATGTACAACTATGTCTAGCTTTGAATCTCAAGTAAGTGTATTTGAGACAGGAATCCGATGAAACTCATCAACACGTTTTATTAGTACACATATCCCCACTATGCACCTATGCAGTGCCGTTACCACCAGTAACGCCATCTCTGAACAAGATTTTACATCACGTCAGAGCCAAAAATTGAAAACTGAAGCCTCATGATGTTTCGGCAACACGTACAACTACAAAACGAGTTCACAACGTGTCCATCAGCTAGTGTTAAGTGAGCATTTTGTAGAAAAACTTACATAATGTCACAAAAAACCAATACAGTGTCAAAAAAAAATCGACATAATGTCACTTTTCAAGAGACGTAATACCCATGCGGGGTGATCAACTAGAACATGAAAACTTGTTATATTTACCAAACCTGAAAATAATGCAGTGATTAAAAAACCTAAAAGCCTACGACTTACTGATCAAGCTTTTACTGAAATTTAATGTTTTTCGTAGTGACTGCCCATGCTGCCCCAGTGTATGCTGCCCCAGTTGCGAAAACAGTCGTCAGTGAGGAGTATGACCCACATCCAGAGTACCAGTACGGATACGACGTTCAGGATGCTCTGACCGGTGACAGCAAGAACCAGTTTGAATCCAGGAGTGGTGATGTTGTACAAGGTAAGAATGATATGTATCCGTATAATTACTTGCAATATTCATTAAAATTGTACAAGCTAAAGAAGGTGGGTTACATCTCCCAATTAGTAACATATTATAGACTTCCTAACGTTCATACTGTGTCTATCTGAGAATGTTAGGTTTTTCGAATAAATCTTTTGATTAAGTGAATGTACTTAATTACATTTTCACTTTTAATTCATTATCTGAATCGTCTCTGGTCCACCCAGTAACAGCAGCATCAATACCTAGGGCCTCGCGTTTTGGTTTGGTTACGATTATCACGCCAGTACCCTAAGTAAATATCACAGAGATGAAAAAGGCGCATTGCAACTGACAACTATTTAACAAATGTTGCATAGACAATACCATTCAGTGTTCATGCTAGAGCTTTGACTTGTGCTTGTTCTTATCCACAATATATATACCTTTAACCTCCTGTGTCGAAATCCTAAATAATGTTGAACAACTGAAAGATCTTCTCGATAAACGGATAGGGAGTATATCCCAGCTGGCTGATGTGCTCTTCTCATGTTAATCGTGGAAAATCTGAAAGACCGGAGTCACATAATGCACATCAGATCGACTTTCTTCTTGCCTAGCCATCTTCAAATGACTACTATAGGTAGTTAGGTTTCTTCCCTAGATCATGCATTCGGTGGACAATAATAATGTCCTCGATAGTATTGTTTCTTGTTGGGTGAACAGCATTCAAAATTGCACACACGATTTTAGCGTGTGCTTCAAAATAAGGTATTTAATCGTTCGGCGTTGACTTATTCCCTTTCTATCTCGCTCCATTTTTAGGTCTAGCAGTGATGCATTCTTTCCACCAAAACAAATAAATGCTTGCTTGTAACCTTAAATGGTTTGGTACTAAAAAAAACATAACCCATATCTAAGCCTTCAAATTCAAGGATATTCAGGATCTGCTGGTGATGTCTTGGTACGTGTAAAACATCCACAATTCCCAACACAATCATTTTCGACCACGTATATTATGAATCATGGAGAATGTGCTCATAATCTGCATATGAACGCATCCACCTTTTCTTTACTAACTCTATAAAATGTTGAATGCAATTTACAAACATTCAATACTTGACTATTTAAATAAAAACAATTATAAATCTGCTTTGATCGAAAAAAAAAGAAAGTAAACATTTGGACATATTTATAGTTGAGAAAATCATAAAGGCTAGGCTCATTAGTTTTTTCAACAAGAATAAGCTTAAACATGAAAATCGATTTGGATTTCAAAAAAATAAATTCACTCAAGACGCGGTGCGGTTTCTTTCTTGGCTTCAAAAATTCATAAATTATTAGAGCAAAGTAAATATACATTATGCATATTCTTACACCTAGCAAAAGCTTTCGATACAGTGGATCACTCGCAACGATTGCAAACTTTACACGATGCCGGAATTAGAAGAAACTCTAAAAACCTTATGAGAAGTTACCTGTTTTACAGAAAGCAATATGTTCAAATAAATGTTACCATACGTTCAGAAAACAACTGTGACTTATGGTGCACTACAAGCGACAGTTTTAGGCCCGTTATTATTTACTATGTATATCAATAGACTACTTAGATTGAAGCCACAAGGCACAATAATTTGTTTTGCAGATGACTCAGCCATAGTTTATTCTAATATCAATTTCTCGGATAGCCTCAAAGAGACCGTTGATAATGATATTATTCTAATTTCAGATTGGTTTAGATGCAAATATCTAACAATAAATTTTCAGAAAACCATGTATATGCCGTTCACAAACCTTAAAAATAAATTACAGTCATTCACCTCTTTACTAATTAAATGTGACAATACATTCAGCCGATAAAACAAAATATTTAGGTGTTCATTTGGATCCTCATTTAAAGTGGAATTTCAATATTGATCATATAGTAACTAATTTGAGACGATTATTATTTAAATTCAAGTACCTCACTAGATATCGAGAATCTAGACCATAAAACAATGAAGACGTTATATCATGCACATATTGAATGTCGCCAAAATTATGCCATACTAGCTTGGGGTGGTGCTCTTACCAACTAAATTAAGAAGCTAGAAATAGTCTAAGAACAATTTTTGAAAATTATTTTAAACGGTCAATTCTATATCCATCTAATATATTCTCAAGCGAGACTACTCGATCTTAGGCATCTCTCTTTTTCAATGTTGTAATCAGTTTATTCAAAAATAAAACAAAACTCATTTCATTGGACCAAAAGTATGAAACAAGAAGTAGAGTCGAGTATATTAAAACACCATTTACAACAAAAGATGTAGGTCAAAGATGATTTAGTTACCCCTTCTCTAGACTTTATAACTTTTTACCAAGCCATATGAAATCCATTTCAAATAAATAGATTCATAAATGAAATAAAAAAAAATTCTTGTTATGTAATAATGGACTTGAAATAGCAAAACTCACTCAAATGAAAATAAATAAGGTTTTGAATATAATGTTATTACACTTACCTTTATGGTTATGTTGTATTTAAATTTATGTATTAACTATATTTAACTATGTTGAAAGCAAAAATTGTTATGAAAAATGTTTTGCCACGAACAAGAATTAAAATCTTCTGTGGGATTATTTCAGTTTATTTGGGTATATATATATTTATTTTGAATAAATTGTAATACTTTATACGTCAAGAAACTCATATTGTTATTATTACTATTATTATTATTTATAAGCAAGTGGAAGTATTCGTAAAATCATTTCAATTTTTACATAACTCCAGTCAACAGTAAAGACTTCATAGATTTTAGTAGTGGTTCCTAGTTATTTTTTATACCCGCATATACTATATTTTAACAATTTGCAAGCGAAAATAACTGTTTAGTATGAAGTTATATCATAAGTTTGCTTGACCTATTATAGTCACACGAATCGGGTTTAGATAGTATTTATTAGTGTGATTTCTTAAAATGTGTATAATATGTTTACTGTAATGTTTGTGCAGGGTCAGGTCAAACTTGACCTTATAACAATGTGGACAGATGTAAATGATTCTTGTCTTCATCAAAGTTGCAGCTGTTATAATTTTTTTTGAAACTTACTTAGAAGAATCCTTTCACCTTTGTCTTCAATTTATCATTAAAACAATCGTAAGTTGCTTTTACACTCGAATAGTTTTTTTGGACCATAGTTGCTACTTTTTCGACCAATTAGTTATTTAGCCTTAGGAAGGTAAAATTTCCTGACGCCCGGTATGTACAAATCAATGCATGTTGTACACAATATGTTGGCCAAGTGAACTGTCCTTATTTGTTTGTTAATATGTAACATAGCATTGTGGTAAATTCTTTTTAGTTTTAATTCCACTTAAGATATACTGCAAATGTATGTCGCTTAGATAATAACTAACAACTAGGAGTTCTCTTAATTCACCTGGAAGTCATTTGGTAACATTCTCTCACATCTAAAGGACTTTTGAAAACATTGGATACAATATTGCAGCGCATCCCGATCAATTTTCATGGCGCAGCAGTGCTTTTTGCCAAAAAGCATAATCGTAAAACGGGGAGACGTCTTACTGTTCCTCTATCCATGCTTAGAAGATAACTAACGAGCACGCCGTCTTTTTCGACGTGCTCGGATGCTGATGGAGACTTTATAGCATTATCCGTAGAAAGCTTTCTATGCGCTTTTTGCTGTAATTACACAAAGGTATAGGTTGAAAGGTCGATGTTGTCTTACAAGGCACAGCGTTGTTCTCTCAAACAATTTTACATTCATTATATAGCACCAGCAGTTTACAGCTTAGGCTTATCTGGGTTACATTGTACAGTACAAGTGCGACATGAGAATCCTTTGACATGGAAATTTCAACTTAGAGACATTTCTGATTCATACAGAATAACCGTCCGTTAACAAAGAAGCATCTGCTTTGATATTCTCGTAGTACAAAAAATTCGAAAACTGCTCGAAAACAGAAAAAGTGTTTGGTGATCTTAGTATTTTATACTTAATACTCTTTGATCGTTCTCCAATTATACTCCATCATCATCTACTACGACTCCACAATACGAATCTTTCCTTTCATCAAGGTCGTTCAACAGTAACTGAAGTGACGCGGTGACATAAAGTGACAGATACGGCGAAAATCAAACTACAATGCTGAAATAACACGCACACGTCACTCACAGGACCAGTCTATAAACGGTATTTCGGCCCTAAAAAATAATCAAATTTCAAGTTGACTGCATATATGAAACTTTTGTTTTCAATTTAACTCTTGATTGCTAAAAGCGAAGTTGTTTTGAAATTTGTGTCCAAAATTCACAAATTTTCGAATATCTGAGTACTTATATTTAAACGCGTGGTTGCAATAATTTTAATTTAATTTAAAATGACTAGCGGAGGCTGAGTCTGAGTCTGCCAAAATGCATTAGAGTATGTGATATTAATCTTCTTCTTATGGAAGAGGACCTACCTGAATGTGCACTAAAATATGGGTCACTAAGTTTGTTCACATTTTATTACGTATTGGAGTAGAAGAAGGTTGAGGTGACGTACAATTGCGCTTTGATGATTGGCTGGTTATAAACGAGCCAATGTACAATATTACTCAACTTTGACCGCCTGCTAGACCATCATTTTCGAAGACTATGGTTTTATTATCTAGGGCTCTGAAGCACTTATGAGAAGGTATCATAATGTAAGGTATCTATAAAAAATAATGGTCCAAATACTCTAAAATAGAGAATTAATACATCATACACAGGGTGTTAGGGGAATAATATTCGTAGCTTTAAGAGGTGATTCCCTGCATTATTCTAAGCAAAAAAGTTCAGTATAACTTATGCCTGAAAATCAATCGTTTTCGAGGAAAGTGGGTCGTAAATAATTAAATTTTCTCAAATATTTTGCAAAGCTGCAACGCAACCGCCACACGAGCGCACGACGACCGTAACTGATTCATCGAATTGTTTAGGTTTGTATGATATTTTTGTTGAAAATATGCCTTCAATTATTGAATACTTTTCGCAATTTTTTGTGGCTAATATTTTTTATTTAATACAGTACATTTACTTGAAAAAAAATTACAGAACTTACCGGTAGTACGTGGCGATACACACCATCAGTTCCAACGACTATCAGTCACTTATTTGAAACGATACGATGCACGAAAAAAAATCCCTAAATCAAATCAAGTTACAGTTAAATGTATTAGTAACCACATAGGCGTTCTTCGGTTTCCACTCCAACTTCAGGATGTCTTCCGCGATTGTTAAAATTAGGCACTACGTTTACTGTGTTCAGAAGTCTTTGGGATGCTTCTACGAATGTTCTTCTAGCTGGTAGCCTTCGATCAGAAAAACGTTGTTCGTAAATGCGCCTAGCCTCGTCAGAATTGCAATGAGCCTCTCCGTAAATAATAAGCATACCGTGATACTCGCGTATCGAAAACATCTCTTTCGTATCAAAACGCACGCACTGATACAGTAATACATACTGAATAATAAAATTTGATTTCAATTCGGGTAAACATTACTTGCTTTAACGTATGCAAGAAACTATCAAATAATTTTTTCCCGGTGTAGGTATTTATGTTTTGCCTACTGACACGATGTCGGTCGCGATGATACATGCAGTGGAGGCGGAGTACGACGTTGCCGGTTGCGTGAGGGATTTTGTTTGTTTGTTTTTCTTCAGAAAGTTGTATTTAGTAAGCAAGAAAATTATTTTGTTACAGGCACTTAATTAATAAATAGGTCTATTGATACATTTTACGCTATAAGGCAGATGAATTTAAATTATTAAGGTGCAAAATTAATTCTTTTCATGACTAAAAAGAAATAAGTTTAGCATTTTCTTGCACCGAAACGGTTGATTTTTGGTTAGAATAATGCAAGGAATCACCTCTTGAAGTTACGAATATTATTTCCCTAACACCCTGTATAGCATCCTCAGTATCAACTTGCTAACCGAAAAAACCCGGTCTAGACTATGAATCCTTTGCTATTGTACTTTCCTAACCTTTGTAATAGGAAAACATATCGTTCCAGTAATTTCAAACTATTCTTTTTGCAGGATCGTACTCCTTGACCGAACCCGATGGTACCCGCCGTACCGTGGACTACACTGCTGACCCCATTAACGGATTCAACGCTGTGGTACGCAAGGAGCCCCTCGGTGCCCCTGCTATCGTCGCCAAAGCCGCCCCAGTTGCATACGCTGCCCCAGTTGCCAAAATTGCAGCCCCAGTAGCCTATGCTGCCTCCGCTGCCCCACTGGCATATGCCGCTCACAGTGCCCCAGTCGCTTATGCGGCCCCAGCTTATGCGGCATACGCAAAACTGCATTAAGCCAGCGAAACATAATAACGGTGACAATTATAATTTTTATGAGAATAAGACTCAATTTAGGTAATAGGTCAATTATGAGGGCTTAAAGTAAGTTCAGTTTAGTCTGCAACATTTGATTGGTCTAACGATAAAGCCATTGTTCATCTCATATTCCGGAAGATGAGTACATTTTGCTGGCATTTTAGTTCTTTCATGTTTCAACAACGATATCACTTAATACAGACATTATGACATCATATATCTGATACCTTCTCTTTTCTTACTTTCCTTACCTTCCTTCTTATTGCTGCCTCTGTAGCAGTAATTATATCAAATTCTTCTATGCTCTCAGCTGCGCTTATTCACTCGCGAGCACGCAATACCCATTTCTATGCTGAAACTGTGATATTCCTCTTTTATGTATACACAAAAAAAGTTCCATTTGAATTCAGATACAGTAAACCTTAAAAAATAATATTATGCGATTAGGAGGGAGAATGAACTATAACTAACCTATAAATATGATCACATCAGGAAGGATGGGCATATAAAGCTTCACAAAACTACCTTCGTATGTTAGACAATCAGCGACAATTTATTATATAAAAATAGTTTTCAGTGACACCAATAACTTGATACATATTCAGCAAATTAATCTCTCATCGACCAATGTTTGGGATGTTGGAAAACTGACCCTGGTGATGTTAAATTGACAAGTTACAAACGTCAATTATGTACTATTTGTTTTCTAATTTATTGTTTTGTATTGTATGTAGGTTTTGTATTATTTCGTAATAAAAGTATTTAGATTCAGAGCTCCTTTTATTCCAATTGATATATTTGTTTACATTCTTCGTTGGCGCATAGGTACCCATAAATTTGGATTAGGAATGGAATGAGTTTCAATGTGACTGACCTGGATTTGATTCGACTTTACAAAGTTACCAATTTTTTTAATCAATATTTTTATTGTTTCCAGATATTATAGGTGTATAGTAACTATATCTTTAAAAAAATAAAAAAAAAAGAATTAGGTTTGTGAGTTTTGAGCAAAATTACATTTTTTCATATTTTTGCTTGGACGTATATACAGGGTGACTTTGAAGTTGAGTCATTAATTTTCAGATAATGATTGTAGAAGGAAGATAAACCAAAATATGTGTGTAAAAATAAAAAAAAAATAAAAAAAAATTTTTTTACCTTGTTTTATAAAGTATCCTCCCGACAAGTATTTCAGTGCGGACCTGTATTTGATCGTGAGGTCCCCTGTGAGGTCTTAAGTCACCTGATTCACGAGCCCGTTGTACTACATTAACAAAGGCACGAGGGGTTGGTTGCACTCGATTGGGAAACCGATCCGCATAAACATGTGCCATTTTTTATTTCGTTTGAGCCACGCAACAGATACCACTATTCACTGACACTGACTGTATACAAATGAATGAAATAATTGTAAAAAGCATCGTTCCAAATTCTTTCGCTTTTTTGTTTCCGATGCGATGAACCGATACGGCGGATTATATCCGTTGTCGCCAAACACGACCACATAATATTATTATTGAGACAGGGCGGTACTCAAACTTCCAAAGGGCTATAACTTTGTTACTTTAATTTTACCAGGAAAATGGTAAAGGAAAAAAACATTTCTTTTGATCAGATCTACTCACTGTTAAAATAAATGACTTAACTTCGAAGTCACCCTGTATATATCTTTATGAACGATTAGGGCAATCTTCCTATGGTATACTTTATAACCATCAAAATGGCGGTTGAAACTAGTTAATAGGTTGTTACGTTTCTGAGGAGGATTGAAGCATACTTATTATTAGGTAATCAACAAAGGCTAAGAAAAGTCAATGAACAAATGTATCTTCTAATCAAATCTAAAGGTAAATTTTTTGCTGCTTAACATTGGTCAAAGATTTAAGATTGATTTATGCAATAGTTTTCGCAAATTTGTATTTGATTATCCTGGACAGCTTTTTTGGAACAGCGTCTCCTTGTGTAACAATGAAGCCAGAATGGTTTTTTGAGTTTTTCATGAAGCTAAAGTGGTTTACATTATAAACGGATAGACATTGTTGCTCTTGCTTGTAGAAGCATCATCTAAACAAACAGCGTTTCTTGGTGAATTTAAAAAAAAATCTGGGAAAAACATATAAATTTGCAAAAACTACTCTACAAATAAATCTGTAGTTTTTTATTAATTTTAAGCAGGGAAATGATTAAATTTGAGTGATTCTCAGCTATCTTCAGCGGATTTCTGAACGATGTGTCAACCTATCAAATAGTTATTTTAGCTGACATTTTAAAGATTTTTCAATATATCACAAGATTGCCTAAATTTCTGACAAAAATTCAGTATGTTCTACGTATCAGCAAAAATATGTAAATATGCAATTCAGGACATTAAGTGGAGATTTCCTTTGATTTTTGAGAACTTTAGGCCCTCCATCAGGCCCTAAGCACATGCCCATAGGGTAAAGATGGAAAATCTTTTCATGTAGACTTCAAACTGAAACAGGAAAACGAACTTTCCGCCTAATTGTGAGGTTCAAAGTATAAGTCAATTTTAGAGAGATTGCGCGGCGGAAACGTAGTATGACAAGCTGTATACGATTTTTCGGATAAGCGCATCCTCAACAAAGGATGTTTAGCAAACAATAACACGAGAGATGGGAAAAATGGGCCGCTGGCGCTTATTATTCCTATCTCTGGAGCTGTTGTTTAGTAAACGTGGTAGGACAAGGTCCCGTGTTTTTAAACAGCAATCGACGCAGGGCAATTTCTATACCATGCCCCGCGACTTTTATCAACAGCATCGCCAACAGAAGATCTGAGACTGAGTCGTATATCTATATATATATATGAAGTCGACAGTCTATACGAGGGATATTAGAAAATAAATCTACCCAGCCATGAAACAAAAAACGTACGATTTTTTTTTGATAATTGTATTTTTAATATAATCCCTCCTTCGCCATTTCTACTCTAGTGAGTTACGAAACAATGTTTTCTCTTGACTCTCAAAAACTTCGTCGACGGCTGCTTTTAGGCCACTGCTTGGATTCCGTTTTTGTCTCAGGATCCCAATCCGTGTCTTGTCACACTTCGTGCCAAAAAGTCAGAATCGGTTACAAAAGTTTCCAAATTACTTCCTAAAACTTTCAGCCCTCGCAATTTTTATTCAGGTGTGAAACCCGCCTAGCCTACACCTTGCCGGTGTTCAAATTGTCGTTTCGATATATTTAATATCCTACTAATGGTAGCGACCTTCAAGAACCATGGCTTCAACTTTTTGAGTCGTTCCATCATTTGGTGCTGTTTTGGGTCTTCAGCTTCTGGGATTGTATCCTATAGATTCGCGCCCCAGAGAAACTGTCTCGATGAAAAGTTTATTGTATAGTATGATGGTGCATCATCCCCATTGATGGCAGCAATTCTCTCAATAATTTTTTTCGGCTGGTGGTCCTCTTTTGTCAGAAATTTAACGACACTGCGATACTATAATGTTAATTTACTCATTTTCCTAACAAATTACTTTATGAATTGAAAACTAATAATCAAAATTAAATCAGCCAGGTTGAAACACACTTTTATTATTTTCATGACTAGACATATTTCCCTTGTACCAACACCTGCTGGTATCGCAGTTGACCAAAGACGTGGGATGTGGTATATAAATCGCATAATAGGGTAAGTCGTTCATTTACCTTATCAAAACTTGCGACCTTGTCGTATGACGTTATCGCGAGATACGTTTTTGAATCAGTCACGTAGGCACAGCTCCAATTAAGCAAAAGCTATCTTTTAGCACAATGCTACCTCCTAGAGTGATGAACCCTTATTCCTTTAAAATCTGTCTCAAATCAAGTATCCGATCTTACTGTTCTTCCAACCCGAAAACAATAAGTCCTTGGAATCCGCATCAATCTGTCCCGCGCTCATTGTCTATCCACTATCATCCCTACTGATGCCGATGTCAATCCAAGGTTTCCAGCCTGGATTAGGGAATTAATCTTTAATTCCCCCTTCACGTCATTCTCATCACACCGTTCCGTAATCTCTGTTATAAGGGGTGTATAGTTCGGAAGAAATTTTAACAAACTCATTAACAAATAATACGAGTTCTGACATTAATTTTCTCCAAAGCAAAGTTCAGCCTCATTCATCGACAGCTCAAATTTCCCGACATGGTACGGAGCTGTTACCCACAAGTATTAGCCACACAAATAGAAGCTAGAAAGTAGATAACTACAGCAGACTAAAACCACTAAAATAGTTTTCCTAATGTTTCGACCAGATAAGGACAAACTAACGAAATTAACCAATGTATGATAGGTCACCAATTCATTGTGCTGCATAGTAGAGCTTTGTTTTTGGCTCCAAACAGAATACCACGAAAGTTTTCACTTCTTGGTATAAACGGAATGTGTAGAAATAAATAAGCATTTTGTCAGATGCAAAGAAAATAGCCGCTCCTCTCTGACACTGACAATTTGACATGAAATGTGTATAAGTTATGGTATCCTTAAAGCATTAACACCATCTAAGTCCCTACGAGTATAACACCGTCCCATACTCGTGAGACAGGATGTTATGTTTGCATTTTTACCAGAGACTTCTGATTTCTGGAAAATTCGTAAGTGCAATCTTATAATATAAAAAGGGTCTTTGACCATTCTCTGTACTCATTTCGTTACTTGTTCTGTTCTCAACTGTTGCTGATGTCTCAATAAAAGTTAGTCTACAAAAGTTACTGAAGTATTTCTCTAACATCATTTGGCGATTATAAGAGAACTAGGAACGCGAGTGATAATTCCTCAATGCAATCAATCACCCACGATCCACACGTATTTAATTGGCACTGCGAACAGGAGGCCCAGCCTTCATCAAGTAGTGTGACTTGGTCAGAAATCACGAAGATTCACTGAGAAGCCAGCTAGAAGGTAACAGTTTTCAAACTTTTGCAATTAGGTATCGCTACTGAAACCTGTGAACGAGTTCCGAGGCCGGAAAGACCTCTCAAGTTTCTGTCCCAAGTTCATCCTAGTGGCCGGTAAGACCACACCAGTACCTTTTTGGAGAAAACTTTTGCATCCAGAACAACCAGAAAACAGAACGAATGGGTCTCTTGGCGATATCGATGCTGATCACGTCATTGTAAGTAGATTTAGAAAGTTTATTAAGAAGTAAGAGGATTTTTATTGAAGAAATTGAAAATAAATATAAGATTGTATTTTTATGCCTCTTGTTAGACGATTTAGTAGACAGAGTTCATACTCCCCTTACACTTATCCACGTTCAAGTTCTAGTTCTAGTGATCCTCATCGTGACTCAAATATTTAAAATTCTGAAACCATAATGGCACAACCGAATGGTAATGAACGTTACAGAATGCTTGAACTACGATTCAGGAGTCTTAAAGACTCTCTGCCAAAATTTTCACCTAACCAAAATAATTTGTCTAGCTTTATACGAGAAAGTGAGTTGTTCATTTCAAAATTTCAAAACAAAGAATTCGAAGAGCCTGCTGTCGAATTGGTCATGTTAATTATTCGAGATCAAGCTCTCGAAAAGGTTAGAAATCACGGTGCCACTTCATGGGTCGAAGCTCGTGATGTTCTTATTCGAAATTATAAAAATACTAAAAATTAAGCAGTCCTGTCAAATGAAATGACTATGTTAAAGCGAAGTAACACCGAAACTTACCGTCAATTTTATGAACGAGTTCTAGATAAATTAAGATAAATGAATGAATGCATAAACCTTGATCATTCAGAACAAGCAAGTAAGTCTACTTATAGAACATTTACAAAACATTTATAAAAAGGAACAATTATTACCATTTGATTCCATTCATTTATTCGAAATCTATGACCTCTCTCAAACGTCTATTATTTGTTTACAAGATGAAATTATATTTGTAATTAAGTTTCCCATTTTGAATATTAAGGAATTTACATCGTATAAATTATTTGCGATTTCTATTCATCATGAACTTATTACTCTGCCAAGTGAGTATTTATTAACTTATGAAAAGAATTATTATTGTTCTGACATTATTAAACTTAGTAATCAACTGTATGTTTGTAAAAGTACTTTCCAGTCTCCCTGTCAACCACAGAGGTTCGAAATGTGTGAGTCTGAAAGCATAACAAACTACCCGAGAATATTAGAATTGGATAAAAATAATTATATAATTGATACTAATCAACTAACAAAGATAAAAGACTGTAAAGGTACTTCTTTTATACATTATGCGACACATACTATTTTAGAATGTAATACTTTAATTAATCATAAAACTTTAGAATTTGATTCCACATTTCAGATTAAGTTAGACCTTGCTTATGCAGCAAAAAGTATGCAATATCAGTTTCAGAAAACAAATGTTTCTCTGGAATCTTATTTACATCAAAACCTTACCTCTTTTAAGTCAGCTTTCAGAATTTACATTATAGATCTACTGTAAATTATCCTATCATTTTATTCTGTATTCTTATATTTTTAATCATTTTTATTATTGTATTTGTAAAATATCGTTATGTAAAGGACACCAAAGTTCCACCCACAACTCCAATTTCTAAACCCGCTGAGGCAATACCTTTAGCTTAATTTTGTCTGATTCGAGACGAATCTTTTTCACCGTGGGGAGGAGTTATGGTATCCTTAAAGCATTAACACCATCTAAGTCCCTACAAGTATAACACCATCCCATACTCGTGAGACAGGATGTGATGTTTGCGTTTTTACCCGAGACTACTGATTTCTGGAAAATTCGTAAGTGTAATCTTATAATATAAAAAGGGTCTTTGACCATTCTCTGTACTCATTTTGTTACTTGTTCTTCTGTTCTCAACTGTTGCTGATGTCTCAATAAAAGTTAGTCTACAAAAGTTACTGAAGTATTTCTCTAACATTATTTGGCTATTATAAGAGAAATAGGAACGCGAGTGATAATTCCTCAGTGCAATCAATCACCCACGATTCACACGTATTTAATTTATATGAACCATGTTCTACAAATGATTTTCAAATTGTTTATAACAGTCAAGTTCAGTTGACCCAAGGATATGTCAAAAAAGTGTCGCTCAACGCTACGCGCCAAACTGTGTTGATTTTAGTATTGGAAAAATTCAAATATTCTAACTTGTCATGACTTCCGATTTTTACTAAGTTCTCATCAGCTAACATTCTCAGCGCATCGATGCTCATTTATAAATTAGTTTTGCTCCCCATGCAGCTTTTGTAAACTCATTACAACGTAATTTCTTCGATAATATCCGAGAAAAGTCTATTAAAAAGAGAATTACGAGCATAATTAGATGTAATTCTAATAGTTTTGTTTTAACCCGGATTACGAAGTCAATATTTAATCATCTCGTGCACAATTTCTACTTCATACTTTCCATCGTTTTTGTTATGCACATACCAGTATAAGGGTACAAGTTCCGGAATAAACATTGAACAACAGTTTCATTAACAATACAGCTCTGGTGTCCGTCTTGCCCAAAGCAGGACCGTGATTTTATCACTGACAAGGAAGTTATAATGAAAGTTCCGGAGCCGAGTAGATTAATGAATATTGGAGCACCTCATCAAGCCAACGCGGATTACATTTTCAGATGCACAGAATATGCAACAGTCTAAAAATAGTTAGAGGTCTTCTCAAATAAAATTGAAGGTGGTATCATCATATCAAATTATTGAAGATAAGGAGATCACATCTCATCTACCATACTATAAAATAAGAATTCAAACTACGGACGCATACATTCAAAATTTTGTATCTGTTTTCAAAAAAAAATATACAGAACGACATATTCGAAATTCCAGTATCTAGGTGTAGACATCTATTATGTGATTAAGTCTCATTCAAGCTTCCTTAAAACAAACACCAGCGCGCTACGTTCAAATCTGCGACCAACAGTCCATAAATGCCTTGACGTGGCAGCGACAAGCGAAAACAAGCGCAGATCGAGTGCTCATGTTCGTTTTGGCGTAAATGGGGAATGCATATAGTTGAATCTCTTGAGGTTTCCATGCTGATGAATCTGCGTGCTTTGCAAGGTCGCCAAATTAAACCACATATGCTAGGTTGACTGCTTAACGTTTCGGCCACCTCGGTAGCCTTTTCAAAGTACGAATAGGGAAATCAAAACGACAGTATATTTTATAAATCGGCAGATAAATATAAAGCATATTGTTGTAAAAACGTAACCGAGATGGCCCAAGCGTTAATAAACAGTGCCAAAAAGGTCACGCAAGATAAATATGAAAATTTGCATTTAGAGTATAATTCATAGGAGCAGCTCGGCTAAAATATAGTTGTAATGGTGGTACAACTTGCTCATTTTGAGTAAAACACACTGTATATTGTTCAACTTTTAGATTATAGACGAGATTTTTAATACTTATTGTGTATCATCCTATATCTATGACTATCCGTTTTTGGTATAGCTCAAATCTTACGTAGAAATGAAAATTGCTGGCCGACGAAATGTTCCGTTACATACTTGCCTTTGCCATATGATTTGCAACGGGCTTCTTAGAGTAGGGGTCTTACTTTAGTCTATTTTATTGCATATTCGGGTGTCGAATAGTACAGGGTGGTCAGAAGAGAATGAATTACCAGTCAATATCCTTGAATCGAAACGAATTTTTCTCGTAATTTTGTATAAGGAGGTTCACTTCTCAAATTAGTAGTTTCCGAAATATATGGAAATATCGGTGTTTCCCTTGCCTGAATGTAGGCTATTTAGATACGACTGACGACGCTGATTTGTCAAATGAGTAATTTGAGATTAGAAAATTCTTGAATTGTCTTCTTCCTGTGTATCCATTGCGGTAGAATAACAGCTGATTATCTAGTAATATTTCAGAATTCCCCTTATCAACACAGATGACACATAATTCTGACGGATCTGTCAACACCAGGTGGACACAGCTGTATCTTGTTTTGGCTTTTTGTACGCTACAGATTCATTTTGTACTTGCTAACAGTTCTTGTATTTAGAAAAGTTCATTTTCATACACGCAAGCTTTACTAGATTTACGTCCGATTGATTAAAGCCAACATTACAAACTAATACAAATAAGTCTCTAACTGACCAGCTGTTCACCTCAGCAGACGTCAAAACGTGATGGATACTCGTGAAATAGGGTTTGCATTCCACTGTTGTTACTAAAATGGCTAAAGTCGTACGAACTATACAGCATTTCCAATAATGTCGAGGAGTATTAGTTAGCTAAATCGACAATCTTATACAAAAATCCAATGCTCAATACGATGAAACCATAAAAATGGTGGTTTACGTTTGAAAACTGATCTTTTGGGTTTTCTAAGACCTAATTTTCACTATCCTTTTTTGGCGACCATGTATCCAAATCTGGAATAAAATCTACTAAGTAGATCTCGACTATGAGATACCAGTTACAAATAATATGACTATGCAAAATACGTAAAAAATTGTTATAATCATTATCAGACAAAAATGGTTAGAGTTAGGTATAGGAGGATGCGTATAATCCAAAGGTTGAATGACGAAATGGCTTACTATTTACAAAAACTAAATTCGTATCTTCTTCCTGGTACCGCCATTTTTAAAATACTTTAGCCGAGTTGCTCCCATCAGTTATACTGTTAACACACATTTTCTTACCTGTCTTTTTTTAGTAATCAATTGCTCTCCGTTGGACACCCTGTATGTGGTTCCGTTTGGCGGCCAGCAGGCCATTGAAATTTATAGCCATCTAGATGATTTAAGACAATGAAAATTTAATAGCCAATGTTCATTTACCACCATGACCAGAATATCTCAGTAAATTTCAGTAACCTATTTCTTAATAATTTTAAATTTATGTAGCGGTAGCTTACATATCCGAACAAAGTGCAAAGCAAGGTGGCCGCTGGACCACCTGAAATTCTTGTTTGCAAAGAAATGGCAACCGGTAAAGTGACCCAATTCATGTAGCCGTTTGAATACCGGTGTGTATACCCTTCACGATAGACTGTATTTCAATACTTCATTGCTGAAGGTGGCCTTGCAGTGTATTGAGACAATTCAAGAGAAACAACAACGTGCTGGCTCTTAGTATTAATTAGTGTCCACTTAGATCTAATATGCGCTGACATAAAGCTCTATAGCTCTGCCGCTTTGCGAATACGTTTGAAGAACAGCAAATGATACAAATTCTCATGTACACAGTATTATTATAAGAAGCACTATTAAATTCGTTGAGTAAAAATGAAACTAGAAGAATTTAATTTAACTTAATACTTCCCGTTATTGATAATAATGATAATAATAAAACGTCTATTTTATTAGGGCGAAGTTTAGCGCTTAAACTATTCCTCCTCTTAACCCAAACAAAAATAAATATAAACATAACTAAAATAGATAAATGACAAAAAGACATAATACAGCAAAAGTATTATACGTATGACCGATAACTGAATAAATACTATTTCTATAAGCAGAAGTGAAAGATAAGTATTTTTAATTTTAGTACTCTAAAAGTAGATTCTTGATATGTCTTTTAAAGTTATCAAATGTTAAAGATTTAATGTCAGGGAGTAATGATTTATATAGGTAAATCGCAATAAAGGTGAAGCCTTTATGGAAAAATGAAGTTCTGTGGATAGGCATGGTGAGTGTATTTGGGAAGAGAATATCTCTAGAATGAACACACATATGATTTAGTAGTTTTTCCTTTAAAAACGGAGTTAATGAGGTGATTTGGAGTTTATGAACTCAACATAGTAAGTGATATTTATATAATTTTGTAATTTTCAACCAACCTATTTTTTGTAGTCGTGCTTTTTCAAGTTTTCTACTAAGCTACAGCAAGAATTTTGAATTTTTGCAACCATTTTATAGATACCGAATCTAAGAATGAATGGTAAACAATATCGCAATATGTAATTTTGATATGATCAATGACTGTTTCTGTTAGTCAGTTTAGTCTAAAATTTGTTTATTGAGGTATAATTGGCGAAGTACTCAAAAACAACTTTCAGTAATATGATTCACATGTGAAATGAAATTTAGACAGTCGTCAAGAAAAAAAGTTTTTACTGATTCATGTACTTGAATAATTTCTGCACCCAGAGATAATATTTGTATATCTTTTAATATATTTATTATTATTATTCACGCATGTGAATTATAAACATTCTAAAACGGTGACAAAATACAGGCTTTATAAGGTTATTGAAAATCATCCGCAATTGGCAAAATAGTAATAGTTGAGTTTGGTACATTTTAAAAATTTACGTATAAGACTGTTTACCGTGTTTACCATCAAAAGTGTATGTTTTTCTTATTTCTGTGCCAACAATGTAGAATAATAGCTTCACCACCTACCAAGACAAATAGTTCTTAAAATAGAAAATGAGTGACAATGCTCCTAGATCTCTAATTTCTGGGTTGTGTATGGTGTTTTTCCATAGTCACTTCGTCACACATCGCAATATTCGGAACTCTCACTTCTATAGATATACTGGCTGAGTTGGAAAATTGCTACAAAAATTGTAGCCAACAGCATGTTCCTTGCTACTGCAGATACAGCTAGGACCGTTAAAATGAAGCAGTTTCATGTAACATACTATAGGGTTTTATTCTCAAATTGTTGAGTTATTGAACAAATCAACACTGAAGCCTCAAAACTTACTTCTCCACAATTTGTACAGGTAGAGTACTGAATTTTTCGCCAGAAAAAGTTTATGATCTCATATTTGGTTGTTGTCTACTCACATTTACAGTGATTTGGACGGTTCATACAGGAAGGTCAAGAACGCATCGTGAACACCCCCCTGAACACCCTCTATATTTTGACATACCTTGATTCCATTTTGAATGACTTTTTTTAATATCAGACAGATTTGTACGAGTGGTTTTTAAATAACAGATAGTCTTTTTGTAAATTATCTATCAAAGTAAATAAAAAACATCATAATGCACTTAAAAATAAAAAATAGCACTTCGATATTCAGTACACGTGCCGAGATCATCTACACGGACAGTTCGAAAACTGCCTCAGCAGTTAGCTGTTCTATTATAATAAGTGGTCCATTCATGGACTCTACCACCGATAATATCGATTTTCACAGCGGTACTGGACGTCAAAGACAGACTACAGAGCAGCAGAATCGTTATTTGAGGTAACTAGAGAACGATTTTCCACAACAAGGGCGTTTGCGAACCAGTGGTTTGATGCTGTCAGAAGGGCGATAACAATGATGACAGTTTGTCGCCGAATAAGGTCTTTTGGACTGTTTTCATACCGTCACCATCCTGTTCTATCTCTGACCCCACAGCATCGTCCGCAACGATTGGTATGGAGCAGGAAGAGACTAGAATGGAATACAGAATGGAACTCGATCGTGTTCAGCAATGAGTCCAGATTGTGTTTGGGCACACATGATGGCTGTGCAAGAGTAAGGAGGAGACGTGGTGGAAGACGGAAGGTCCCATACTCCATCGAATGGCATATCTTATCTCAGACTGATATTTGTCATAAGGAGTAGGCAAAGAAACTACCTGATCTGTGATGGTTGAATATGGCTCAGAGGCGTACCTTTCTACTTTCTTTTTTACAAGATTCTAAAATATAAAATCCCTCCTTATCTTCACTTAAAAGTTAGTTACCGGACTGATGTGGTGTTGTATTTTCTATACCATTTAGTATAAATAAATAAAAAAAAACATTTTAGTATGTGTAGTACTGAGCCCTAGAGCCCCTCCTGAATAGGCCAGTGTGTGTGTGATACATAGACCATTAGTTGACCGTTATCAAAAATCATGTATAAAGGAGCTGTATTACCTCAGATAATACATGAAGTAATTGGTAAAAAGGATACAATCCTGATCCCGCCTAAAGCTGCCTTGAAATATGAAAGTGACACGTACAAAAGCATTTTCGAGTCACGTAAAAAAAACTTCTCTCATTGTAAAATACCCACCAATAAAATATGCCAGCGTTCCTGTGTTTGCTATTTTTAGCATCCATTGTGATGGTAATGCCGTAAAGCCAATTTCTATTCACAATATACTCAGAGTCACAGGGTAGGTATGCGTCGATACGACTATTAATAATGCAAAAGCCGGTTTTCGAAGCTGTTGACTGCATCATACGCAGAGCCAGGTTTCTATTTCACGATTTGCATGAATCGAGTATTATCGCGCAAAAATCGGAATTGAAGGAAAATTTCCAGTGGAAGAGGAACAAACAAAATTAGAGAAAACCTTCTCAGTTTCCTAAGCAAGAAGGGTGAACATTCAAGGGATTATAGGGACAAATCCCAAAACAATGAATGATAAAGAAAGGCGTTATCAATTGTTTACCCACAACTGTCCAAAAATGCATTAAGGGCCAATTTCACCAACAACAGTCCGTTATTCTCCACCTATAAATCAAATACGGCCAGGAATTATTAGCGCCTGGCTATTTTAGGCCTCCAATAACTCCTTATTTTGTTTTTTCCACGCATTCATGGTAGAAAGAAAAATATTTTATTGAATATCGATACCGCATACCGTGCACCAGGCACGCTCATCACTACTTTGACAGATTGCAGAATGATGTCAAGGTGACAATCGTTATGTGGCAGTTGTTTTTGTTTTTGTCTGAAATATGTAAGTAGGCTTTGTGTATTCATTTTTATTTTTATAGCGTTTCTAGAATTTCATATTTCGAAACGATGTCAAGGGCCGGCAGGGGAAAATCTTTCTCTGAGAACTGAAAATCATTAAACGCGCTGTTTTCAGTCTATTTTATTCTATCCCTTGGGGAAGTACAGAATGAAGAAAAGGCTTCAGTGCTCAGTGGCCAGAAGCTACCAGTCCTCGCTTAGAGATGGTAGCACAGTTAAGGATAGACTCGGGGTATACGGTTACGGATGTTTATGATACCTCTCGATATCGATATATCGTCATGAAACCATCGATGCGTAAAGATCGATGTTCTACGTCCGAGGTGTCGATGTTTTGGTACATCAATGTATCGTCTATCGTCGCCATCCCTATATTGTATCCCCACCAGTCACCAGTCAAAAACCTTAACCACCAATATTTTATCACTATTTATAATTCTTTTTAGGTCTTATTGTTCAGTAATTGCTAATAATTTTAGGTCTATGTCCACAGTAATTACATTGTGCACCTCGGAGATGTAGGGATTAACATGTTTTACACATATCGGTGTTTTAGGATGGGGACGACCATACTGCTTTGATTGCTTTGAAGAAATTCATTAACCCATGAATTTATAACAAATGATTACTATTATGATGTAAAGAGAGATGAGGAATTGGTTGGAATACATTTTATATTCTATTTTCTTGCAAATCCGTACAATTCAACAGGTATGTGTAGCTATAATGATCACATATTCACACAGTATATTGAACTTAACAAATTTCGAGATTGCCATGAATTAACAAACGACCAAACCTGCTGCCAAATTTAACAGCTAGAAAATCGACCTGTTATTTCTCCCATTCCCATTCGCTGAGGGGATAACGGATGGTCAAATGTACATCTACATATATAACATAAATCAACATACATGAAAGTTGTCCTGTTTTCTCTGTACAGAAGCATGATGTTGGAATCAAAAAGTGGTCTTCTTTATAATACAGTCGAATTTTCACGATTTTATTCAACATTTTAATAGAAATCACTGATATTCTGAGACCTTTGACAGCTTCCGTCAAATTGCATTTCGATAAGGTATTTTCCTATTGGTCCATAATATTAATGATGGTGAAATCGGCCCTTAATCTTTTACACATTGTACGAGTACACTAGGGATTCTGTCTTCGCCAATTATATCTAACACGTATTAAGCTTTGTCCAAGCTTTGACGAATCATTTGTAGGTGACAGTTACGTTTGTTTTCTGGGTTATAAAGAAACATGTGTTTATTTTATTTTCTTTAAGTAGGCATTGCAGATAAATGCTTGATGTAAGATTATAGTCCTTTCACTGAAACAAAGCAGTCACGTCATATTTAGTAAATTTGAATGCCAACCTTAATGCAAAATAGATCCTAAATTGGTACGTATGGTTTAAATTTCTCGTGTAAATTTATGTTGGTAACATTTTTCTGCGTTGTGACATTGTCGCAAAGCTTGTCAGGTAACGCCAACAACTGTTATTTATTTGTGGTTTATTTCCTAGGATCCAGTAGTGTGCTTCACTGTCATTATTTGACGTTGTAACGCAACTGTGAATATGCTGTAAGTGATTACTGATAGGTATTATACAATAGTGATCTGATGCAGTGATTTTTTTTATAATTTGATGCTTAATTTAGTGATAGTCAGAATAAGGAATACATTTTTAACATTATTTTTATTCTATTCACGATAGGTGTTCAAATAGGTTGCGATTATTTTCTCAATATAAATATGATCTTCTAACAGTAGAATTCAAAACATCACGTAACATTTTTGGTGTAATCATACTAATTACACATTATTGTAACAGTTTCAAAAGTATGTACTGATAGACTTGTTTTTTTAATAAAACCCCAAAAAAAAAGAGGAGTTGAATCCGGGGAACGGTCTGGCTAGGACACTTCCACCTTCCGGGTAGTCACTGAGAAAGATACTCTCGAACTTGCCTAGAGTTATGTATAGGAGCACCGTCGTGTTGAAATCAACATCTATTAACCTGTGCTGAAGGTGAATGAGTTGTGGTAAATAAATGGACCTAATATTTTGGTCCCTAGAATCCCACTCCACATATTAAACCTAAAACATTCTTGATATCTGGATACTTGCAGTGAGTGTTGCGGCGATTAAAGACACCATTATTAGTGACCATACTTTAGTCGGACCAAGGATAATTAAAAATCTTCACAAGTTTGTGTGTACACCTACATTTTTCTCCATTTGCCTAGTTGATATTATGTTAGTGTTCTCAGCAACTGTATCTAAAACACTATTCTTAGTTTCCTCTAATGATTCCTTTTTTCGAGACATTACAGGCTTTTTGAATGAACCCTATTCATTTGAATTTCGAGTCAAGTCTAACGAAGAGGACTAACTTGGCTGCTTTCTCTCGGGAAATTTATCAAGATCCAGTAATGTAGTAGTAGTTTTAGTATTTTGTAACACAACATGTAGCATGTCAGTATGTCGAACTTATCTTCATTGCTAAAATGTCCGCATTGCATCTTTGACGATAATAAAGCAATATTAACAATAGACAATAATAACAATGCTCAGTGACAAGTATTTACGCCTACTTAAAAAAGAATCAGAAAAAAACGCATTTTTCCTTATGACCAAGGAAATACATTATGTAACATGTGATACATCCTTGAATTCGTATCGAAGATGCCATTAGATACAGAGTGTGATATTTTTTCGGACCATATAAAAAATAAATTTGATGATGGCAAAAATGAACGGTCGCCACAAAATTTTAAAAGCACCGTCATGTAGTGCCTAAAAACTACCAATGAAAAAAATTCATTAGTTTTTTGATATTTCTTAAAATAAAGTCAGAAACAAACTAATTTTAGTTTTTCCCAGATATCTCAGTAAGTCATGAAATTTTTACAAGTTTCTCAACGGCATGTAAATACGCCCCAAAGATCGCGACTTTTTCCTAATCTAACCTAAGCTGTATCTCTCACACGTACTGACATCCTCATGCATAGGATCCTTATCTTGGATACCCTGTATACTGAAACGTTTTCCACGCAACTAGATGCTGTACCGATGATTGCTAAAAACCATGAAACAACGTTGTATGCATTTAATCGTGGGGACAATTTTGTATAGCATGTCATCGCTGATAGCTTTGAGAATACCTCCTATTCCGTTAATAGGCCAGAGGGTTCGGGGTCTCCTAGCTCTTTTAGCGTGAGAGCCGATGGTGTGACAAGTAAGGTTCAAATAAATTATGAAGAATCATCAAAAACAAGCATCGTATATGACCTTTCGCTTGACATCATAATATAGGAAAGACTTACCTCATTATTTGTGTACGCCGGTATGATGGGACCATCGTTGGCTTCCCATTTATTAGCTATCCGTATCGTTTCAGCTGTTTTTTCTTGAACTGACTTATTCTCGTCTAGTAGAGTCAATTCGTAGAATTCTTGGATATCTGGAACAAATATAAATGTTACTTACCAGAAAAGGAAATTACGTATTATCTTATAGTCAGACAGTAAGTACAGTATGCAATAAAGAACTACGGTAACACTGATAAACCCAGGGTTTTACTTTTTTTAGAAGGTATATCTGGGAATAAGCTAAAAAAGGCAATAGTTCCTAAAATTGTACCACCAGAAATGGTAATAATTCTTCAACTTAAAAATAAAATGATAATAGGTACGTCATACAAATTAATGTAATTGTTGCTAGACCTTACAAAAGAAGGAAAACTTGTCGAGATACGATGAAGTGTACTGCGATGCTTTTATAAGAGCAAGATGTGAAACACAAGTCCCAGAACAGAAATGTGTAGAAATATTCAAGGGATATGGTAAGGCAGTAAAGACCTATGATTCTTTCCCAGCTACTCAATGGCGTCCTTGAATTTGACCTTGGCTATGACCGTGGATGTAAAATAAAGGTCTATAATATTTTTTAAATGGGACCTTACACTTCTGATCCCGGAAATTGATATATCCAAAATGTTTACCATGATATATGACCTTAGGTAAACATTATTTTGACCTTGGATGTGATCAAGGTCGCCGTAAAAACCTTTGTTCAATAGATCGGTGATTTTTTTAATCATAAAGTAATAACGACCCTAAAGTCAGCTTAATACTATTCCATGAGTATTGACTGGTGATCTTAAAACTGACCTTGACTACAACTTTGAAGGTTAAATAAGGGTAAAAATAATTTTCGCCAAAGGTCATGCATGAACGTGAAATTTTCCGCTCTAACTATTCATGCGGTCAAAGCTCAGTGTACCAGGTAAAAAAATGTCGACCTCTAATTCTTCAAGGGGGGCCACTTTCAGGGTCACCAGTGAATAGATAGCGGAAATTCAAGCTCCCGACTAGGATGTTTGAGGTCAAAATAATATCCTTAGCCAGGGCCCTGATTCTATCTGAATTTCGACCGATTGACCCCTAATTATAGCAATTTTCTGTGTTTAAAGAATGATGGAAGCGCCAAGATTATGCTTGCAGTGAGAAAGATCTCCAGAATAGAAAGTAACTTGTTACCATTTGATCATCTAAAATACCTCGGAATATGCATCAAAAGAGTTGCGCCTGTATTCCACGTATCGCCATTATAAGGTAATTTCACGGTATATGACGATGAATTATACGCTTTGGCTCTCTCATAACAGCTCGCTTAATGCAGTTTTTGTTATTAATTCAAACCATCTAGGAAGGCTTCGCAATTTAGTAGCAGCGCGCACATCTCCTCTATCACGGCCTTCTACATGAAATATGAAGTTTTTATAAAAAAGCTTTAATACAAACATAGGACCTTGCTTTGCACATTTTTTACACTGCAATGGGCTGTAGTTCACCCATAAGGATTATAATTCAATTACGGGCAATGAAATTACATTTCAAGTAGCACTTTTTAAACTGTGCTCCCTTATAGGGTACAGACATAGGGAGCAGTGGTGGTTATCACCATCATCGTTACTAAGATCGCTACCTGAATCATATTAATGCTATCTGTTCACTATCAGTGAGAATCAACGAGGTGCGAAAGTGAAACGAATATTAGTATCGTGGTGATGCACTGGTTATGACGAGGTCTACGCCCCCACATTCCGTCTTCATTTAAGGTGTAATCCACGTCTTGCTCAATCTAAGTGCTTATATTGTGTTAAGACCTGCATGCTCGTTCTATAGATAATCAGGGCTACCTTACACTGATTTTTGCATCGACAGAACAACCTAACAGTTCAAGTTCAAAAGCACTGTCTTACCGTAGCGAAGATATTTCCTCAGCTAATAGAGACAGCAAATAACAATAAAGAAAGACAGTTATGAAAGTTTGTTTTTTCCATTTTAAATCCAAAATATAGAAATCTTTAAAAATTATTTTTATCAAACTTTGGCTAATATACGTGTGTGCAAACTGGACAAGAAATAGGTTTAGAAACACATAACCAAAAAAGGACAAGTGCCTACAAAACCAGCAGAACTACAATAAAAGGCTACCTCGTCACATTGTCCCATTTTAATCTCCCCATCATCATTTCGGAAACTGCGCATTATAGGAAAAAGTTTGATACAAAACTTGTAGGGTTTCAAGGAATAAAAATGATCGTGACCTTGGCAATGACCTAAACCACGACCTTTAACGTCATTTCAAAGTCAAGTGCATATTAAAAAACTCTTTTTACCTTGGAATTATGGGGAGATCATCCAAAGGTAACCTTGTGCCATTGTCCTCAAGTTCATGGCAACCATTCATTTTTATACCGGCAATGGAAAAATCAGGAAGTCTTGCGTCCGAATGTGATCTGGAATTCCTATGAGATTCACGCTTGACATGACCCTGACTTTGAGGTGAAGGTCTAATTGAGGCGTAGAATTTGATGCTTTTTCCAGTTTAAAAATGTGAAGTTTCATTTGGAAACTTAGACTTGACCTTCATGTTCAAGAACATTGCCAAAGTCATCTTTGGAGGATCCCCACAAACCTCACAATTGTGCTGTCAATCATTTTTGTTTTCGATGTCTTGATTTGACCTTGAAATGGCCTTTAATACGATAATCAAGGTCATGACCAAGGTGATGCTAGGACGTAAGATGTGAAAAAGGAATGTTTTAACTTAAAAATATTTACTTGGACCTTGAAGTCGCCTCAAGGTTGATATTATTCAAGGCGATGCCCAAGGCTACCATCGTATTGCCCTCTGGGAACCTTACAATTTTGGTTTGAAACTTTTTTCTCTGGAATAAACAGTTATATCAGGGTGACGTTATCCTTTTGACATGAGGTGTTCACTACATTACTCATGGCATAACACATCGTATGTGTTGGTAGGCACCCGATATGGACACCTTTTTGTAAAATGAAATGATACTAAGTACAAAGCATTTGCTGTCGGCAACCTTTTTCCTAACTAGTTAGGTTACCTTCAGTTGTACCTACCTCAGTTGTTGAATATCTCTCGCTAATAAATAAATCTAATCGACTTGTACAGCACATGTCGTGTTTTCAACATTTAGCAGCGCTAGGATACTGTCATGGCTTGTCTAAACCGTCACCAGAAACTTAATAGAAAGTGTGTGTATAGTCTTGCTCGTAAGTTCAGGCTTTTAATTTGGCCGTCACCTTAAACTGTAGTGTAAGTTGAAGACAAAGGAGCTGTACGGTCTGAATTAACACGGTCTCAACAACCGACAGTTCAAGTCTGAGCTCCAGTACCAATTGGTTCAAAGCAATTTGATATTGTTTATCACTAGTGTGCACCATTAAACTAAACGTAATTCCTTCTTCTTCATCATTTAAGTGGTTTTTACACACTTTCAACAGTTCAATCTTTTGATAGTTATTGGGGAGCTTTGAAAAGTTTATATGCGTATAGATTTCGACATTCTCTTTCCGAATACGTGTTTTGTGGTCTCGAATATTTTCCGCTATAACCGCTGCATTGGGGAAGTGACGCGCTAAAAGCTTTTTAATAATATTTTATATTGAACTTTCCTTGCCGTAAAAGCAACAATGGCAAATTAGGCTGGAAAAAGATTTTACATTTAGGGTCATAGTATTTTTTGGAGGATATCTAGTTACTGCGCTGAGGTACGACCACGGAAAAGTCTACTTTAACACGAATATATGGGAACCATCCAATGGTCAGTTATTATTTAGTAACCGAAACATTGCGGATGTTATTTTCGAGTTCCCACCCTTCAAATCCGGTATCTACTGGGTGAGTTTTAAGTCCGGGTTCGGCCAAAAGTATGCTCCTGACTTATATATATGTTTATTCTTACAGGGTGATTCATAACTACGTTGTGACCCAAACACACATTTTTGGAAATGAAATTCCCTACATTTTACTGCGGACTTGGATAGTCCCTTTCAAACCAAGCAAATTGCTATCGTATTTTAGCTCCAAATTGTTGAGATATTTGACAATCTTTCGAAAAAAGGCACTCAAGTTTGACAACCTTCACCTCCTTACTTTTTCTAGTGTTTTGGATAGTTTATAAGGGCTGAACAAAATCTCAAAATAAACTACTTCTTAAGATTTTCAAATAAAAAATCCTGTATATTTTTAACATTATTTAAATTTCCCTTTCACAAGCTCTTTTCTTACATAAGGTTTATGGGGGTTTGTACAGAACACAGGGGCACCATCTTGACGGTTCTACTTTATTGCGTAAGGCTAAGTAGTTTTAATTTATAATAAGAATACACCAATTCCAACGATCCCCCGTTAGCAACTATATGCTAATCTTTATTATGAAATGTCTCTTAGTATTCTTCGTTTGCCTTGGTATACGGCTTACAAAAAAAGGGTTAGCTGTAATCCAAAAATCAGTCATACAAACCACCATAAAGCTTACATAAAAAAAACTGTAGAAAGAGGAATCAAAGAAGTTGAACATTTTAAGAAACCGTTTACTTTGCGTACTTATTAATCTTGTATAACTGTCAAAAAATTGGTAGTAAAGTAAGAGATAAACTATGGGATCGTCAATTTTTTTCTGGCGAAACATTCGGTACTTTAGCTATAACAGTTGCGAACGTACGAGTCAAAGTTGGGTATTTTTTTCGATATAATGGGCTATTTCTTAAAAATTTGTTGAAGTGAAAATGAGGGGCATTTCGCTTAAAAGAATGATTGTTTGGGTGACCACATAGTAATGAGCCACCCTTTAGAGATAAAGATATTTCCAGTTAAGGACCATAGTGTTGGCTACTTTTCTTGTAATCAATTATTTCAGATACCACGCGCAATAATGGAGTTATCGACCGAGCTTATACTAAAGACTCACCCTGTACGGCCAGAACACTATCATGGCTGTGCTTTGACATTACCCTTATGCCCAGTCTTTTTCCAAGGAAAATAGTTCTATGACAAATTAAACTAGAAAAGATCTTCAAATTTAAAATTCAGGAAGAACACGCCGAAATCAATAGGGCAATTAAATTTTAAAAACATTTCCAGAACTCTCTAGGCTAACAGCTAGCTAATAGTACATATACTCGTATGTATTTGAGTGTTGACATTGCGTTTTATATTTTGGATTTATACATACGATGACGATACGTCCACATGGAAGCGCTCAGCAACTGTAAAAACCTAGAATTCAACTACTTCAGAAATAATGTACACGCAGGCGGCAGAAATATCACGGTTGTCACATACAGAGTCACATTATTTTTGCAAGGGCTGATGGAAGTGAAAAAGTAATGGGTCATACCCATTCCCATGAGCGGTTCGATATATCAACCTCTACAACATTTGTCACTGTGTCGGGCCAGCATTTCCGTTGACATTTGTAGATAGTACGCTATCAAGTTAGTGTTATGTGCATATACGATTCATAGTTTGTGGTTTAGTATCCGCTGGATATAGCATCAGGATAATTTAGAAGTGGTGCAAAAAATGGCTACGACTAGAAAGTCCATGCTTGAACTTTCGATTTGTATTTTATTTTTTTATTAGTAATATGTTATTCTTAATCACACAAGGAAATTTTTCCACACTTCTTCTTTCTTCTAAAAAAATTTTGTACGCATAGTAGTGGAAATAATCCGCGATCAGTTGCAGTACTGTTTTATTTTGAGGAAACTCATACGAGTACTAAGAGAGTCCAAGAGGCTTGCATATTTTTGTGTACAATATTGTCAGGATACGTGACTTGGGGGTCAGATGCTCGGGGCTGATAAATGAAAAACTCGCAAATTCGAGCAACAAAACAGTTTATTGGATATAAAATAAATAGAATGTATGTACTTACTACACTGCCTGCAAAATTAACCGGACAAACACAATTTTGTTCAAATTAAATTTGTAATAACTTTTAAAAAAATTGAAAATGTTTGTTGTATAACTGCTTTGACAATTTGTGAATATGCTTCGTTTATCCTATAAGTTATTAAAATTCATCTTTTGAGTAGTTTGTTGTTTGACAGATGATTATAATTTTAAGATTTCTCAAACTTACTAATTGACTTGCGCAGGACTATTTCTCACGAGAGCAATTGTGGAAAAAGAGGGACATACCGCAAAAGACCCAAATATTGTTACCCTGGTGGCCGGCCCCCTCGGGGGTCTATTGTCATTGTATCTATGCAGGTACTAGCTGTATTATGTAATGCCAAATATATACTGCCACGCAAAACTAACAGGACAAGAGGTGCATTTTGCCCTAAATTTCGGAACACCCTGTGGAAAGATTGGATTACTGAATAATGTGTCTTTGTATGAGAATTTTAAGCTTCAACTTTCCTCAACAGTTCTTTTTTTTGAGTAATGTCAGTATCTCAATAATTAAAGAATATATGCTGTTTTGAAGAAAATCATGCGAATCATAGCCATAAACAATATTAAAATTAAAAAAATATAGTGACAACATTTTTAAGGAAACTATGCGAATCATAACCATAAACAATTTAGCTTAAAAAATTACAGTGACATCATTGGGTGATTAGAAATTGGCAGTATGGTGTCCTCCTTGTAGCGAAACAAGATCTGTGCGGGATTCCAATGGAATATCGCCCCATGCCATCACACCTCCACCACCACATTGCACTCTAGGAGCGAAACAACTTTATGCATAGCGTTCTTCACACCTTCTCCACACTCTTTAGCGACCATCAGGTGAATATCTCGTAAAATGAAACTCGCCTGTAACAAGGACGTTTTTTCAGTCGCCCATATCCCAATCTGCATGAGTTCGAGAAAATACCAAGCGCAGCCTTCGATGCCCTACATCCGATAGAGGACCTTTAGCAGGTACACAAGATGATAGGTTTCCTTCTCTCAACCTTCGGCGTACGGTATCAGGTGAAACTATGGTACCATGAACATCATCCAATCTCCGAGTCGAATCTGAAGCAGGAATTGTCGTTTCTCAAAGAGCTTGAAGTCTCAGAAACAGCTTGTGCTACTTGTTCCGATGTCATTCTTGTTGACTATTGCTTGACAAGAGTATTTTTGACATGGCATAAAAATGCGGCAAAGCCTGCTTGAAACAATTTCTTGTTTATGGCTATGATTCGCATGATTTTCTTCAAAACAGCATATATTCTTCAAAAATTAAGATACTGACATGATTCAAAAAAAGAACTGTTGAGAAAACTTGAGGCTTGAAATTCTCATACGAAGACACATTATTCAGTAATCCAATGTTTCCACAGGGTGTTTAGAAGTTTAGGGCAAAATTCACCTCTTGGCCTGTTAATTTTGCGTGGCAGTGTGTATTTGGCATTACATAATACAGCTAGTATCTGCATAGATCAATGACAATAGACACTCGAGGGGGCCGGCCTCCAGGGTAACAATATTTGGGTCTTTTGCGGTATGCCCCTCTTTTCCCACAATTGCTCTCCTGGGAAATAGTCCTGCGCAAGCCAATGAGTAAGTTTGAGAAATCTTAAAATTATAACCATCTCTCAAACAACAAACTACTCAAAAGATGAACTTTAATAACTTATAGGATGAACGAAGCATATCTACAAATTGTCAAAGCACCCTCAAGACGAAGACAATTCATAAAACAAATATCACTAAAAAGTGGCTCAGGTGACGTGCAATGTGAGCATGCGCGAAAAACCGGTAGGAGTTCCGTAAAAACACGAACGTTGTTACTTTCAGAACGGAAATAGAAGAACTCAGAATAAGCCATCGATCATCACCGATCTACTTGACCTCAGTTCACCTGAAGTGGATTGGCGTATTGTGCAATCGAAATTCCATATAAAATTTTTACCGACCGAGCACGTATCCATTCGTTTAGTAGATCGAAACTCAATTTTCGAGTTTTTTTATGGGGCCGGAATATCGGACGATGAATCGATGTGTGATTTATTCCAACTCCCTTTGATATCGAAAGCGACCTCCACGGTAATCACTGTTATCAACGGTTCCACAATATTTTAAATTGTCGCATCCATTGTGTTGCCATCAAGGTATACCGGCTATGAATAGTAGGATTACTGTATCGTTAAACGAGCCGTATTCATAAAAGAGATGCATATCCTCGGGAGCATAAGGTAAAAGTATAAGGTCTTGCTTCGGAAAAAAAGGTAGAAGTACAAGCATGTCCTTGTTTTCATATTCATAATGATTACCTTATACTCGCGAGGATATCCCCCAAGAAGAAGTAAAAGGTTGACTGGTATTTGTATTTTGAGCGATATCTCCTGACTTGTTCCAGCTTGTACTTGACGTGGGAGTTCGTTCACTCAGCATTACTGACAGTTTTACCCCAGAGCTTACACAGGCCGTTCCGTATTTTTCCTGGATACAGTTTTTGATCAAATTAGTAAGCATGTGATCCTCAAGTAATGAGGAAACTATAGAAAATAATGGCAACGACCTACAGTTCATCGCAGATGAAATTGCCATTGCTCCTATTATTTTTCAAAAGTCACAAGTTCCAAAAATAAAAATGAGAAAGGACGATGCCTTGAAGAAGATATTGAATAAATACGATCAACATTCGGTGAACCATTAGATACTAAAGGCTTATTAAAAAAAATCAACAACATGAAATGAAAATGAAAAATCAAGATTGAAGAAAAAAACAGATCTACAAAAACTGGTAATGAAGGAATTAAATTGTTAGATTGGGAAAGAAAGTTCTGAAAGGTGACTGTAATCCTACAGTTGGAAAAATTGGAGGTGCCATTCAGGTTGGTAGTGTTCAAGAAGAAGGAAGTGAACTATATACCGAGCGCAGTGAGCAAACAGTTAGTATTACAGCGCCAGCAACTCAGAAGACATTGCCACCAAAAAGAAATTTAGCAACAAAACTGAGGAAACCAAAGGGTTAGCTACAAAGAACTACAACGTGTAGTGCTATTACAGCAGTACCAAACAAGTATTTTACAACAAGAGTATTATAAAACGAAATTAGAAACGATGCATCGTCAGAAGCTACCTGTAACTTATGATGTTCACGAAAATAAGCTTATAAATATACTTTAATCAGTAAGACTGTTTATTATAATATTCAAGTTCCTTCTTACTTATTGACCTAGTTGGCGGAGAGGAAGTTCGTCATTCTCATGATTTGCTTCATCTTCACCTGGGTCTTGTTCAACTAATTCAAAGTCAGGATTGCCCAAGCTCCTTGCAACATTATCGAGTACAATACAAGCAATAATTATTTTCGGCACATTTTCCAACTTTACGCGACAAACATACTGTAGGATAGGAAACCGGCGTTTCAGTTGGCCGAAACAGCATTCAATTATAACTCTTTCTTGTTTTAAAAGTTTATTATAATTTATTTCTGCACCTGGAGTAGGATTTCTGAAGGGAGTCATAAGGCATGGCTCAATACCATAACCGTCATCGTCAAGTAGTACCACATTTGCTCTATTTATTAGTTGTAATCTATTCTGTGAATTTCTCTATATTCTGGAATCATGCACTGATCCAGGCCAACTGACCTCAACACTTATGAACATCTCTATGGCATCACAAGTGGCTTGCACATTTAAAGCACGTTTCCCTTTTCGGTTGATATACTCATCTCCATCGCGATTCGGTTTCAGGATTCCTATATGTGTACAATCACTTACACCAATTGCTGTCGGAAATTTATACATGCTTTGCCATATCCGCTTGGCCTCCATCAGTTCATGGTTGGCAGTTGGAAACTTGATCCATTCGTTCGACTGTGCAACTATGCTGTTCACAACTCTATCCACAGTCTGAGATACCGTTGCTTGATTAACATGATTAAGTTCCTGATCAATACCTTGTTGATATCCAGGGTGACCGAGATAGCATAGGCATATCTTCATTTTATGAATACATGAAAGTGCTCCTTCTCGAGTTTCCTCATTCTTAACTAAAAATCTGTCCGCAAGCCATTGTACTTTTGCTTCGTCGAACCGATATATTTTTTTGAAGTCACGACCAAGTGAAGGTAAATGAGGTTTGTACGTTTTAACATCCCTAACATCTACAATTTCCGCCATCACCGTTTGACTTTCGTTACGAAGCTGAGTCTGCTACTGACCACACTCAGAATTTTGGAAGGATATGCTTCCTATGCCAAGTAAGAGGTGAAGATTATGAATATCCTTTTACTTATGTCACTGCTTTGAAGGATATGCTTATACTCAAAAAGTAAAAGCATTTACTTCAAATTATTATAAATACCATCTGGAGGATTTCCTTCAAAATTTGCAAGTACAAGGACATCCTTCGTTTTATGAATACGGCTCAATGTCCAATCTTATCGAGCTTTTCAGTTCCTATATTGCACTATAAAGGGTAACAGCTAACTACTTGCTGTTTTACAGAACTGTCTTTTACAGCAGAGTAGAAACACTTTGGCTCTAACGTTTAAGTTATCTCTTACTGAAAAAATGAACACGAAAGTTGTGTAGCTTGTTAGTACGCAGTTCGCATGGTACTGAAGTTGGAAATTTTAAACCTATATTTTCATTTGAACCTGTAATCTCGCGCGTAGGGCCCAAAAGCTAAAAAAGCTAATAAGCAACAGACCAACCTACACGTTTTTCTATTTTCATAAAGTTGCCAGCGAAAAGTGTGATTAACAACTTTATGAAAACGTTGCTCGTAAACCTGTTAGTTGTCCAATAGCTGATTGGATTTCAGGGCCTTACGCCGGAGATTACATGATTTAGTGTAGTATCAAAACATAATTGTCAGTTTACCTCCCTGCGAACTCCGCCTTCATATAGGCGTACAGAGATCAAGAGATGTTAATCGAAAAATAATTAGAAAACTAGTTAATATAGCTTTCATTTGTCCGACCATAGCCATTTCCTCAGCATGGTCTCAGGTAAGACAACGAACAAGATCAGAGTACCTATTCCCTATCCATAGCATAAGGACCACTGAGAGAGTGAAAACAGCAAGCTGTCTGTTGGAACTGCATCCCAGTTTGAATTGTCGTCACTAACGCTATCGATTCTGGCAGTTTGCGGTACCTTATTATTATTGAAACATCGTTGCAAGAATTGGCATCAGGCAGGTTGACTCTACGCTTCCCATGCAACGCTGTCATCAGTTCATTAAGGGTTCGGCAAAAGTGAGTGAAAACAGTTAGCTACGAACATGTATAATGTAAAAATTAAGCGGATCATGTCTGCTGAACAGGCTCACAAAATTAAACTCTAGTCCACATCGATCTGACAACGTTGCGACCTACAAATATCTCTCCAACCGTGTAGACAATGTTGACCAGGTGGCGTCATTGCTATGACTAAACCTCGCCAGCGGCCAAACCCCGACATCGGTTTATCTACCTCAGCCAGTTGCGATTGAAGTTACTGCTTGAAGCATTTCTCTGTATCAAATGTATTTAGGGATCGATGTGTGAACTATGCCCAAAAGGTGCGTAAAATTACCAGGATTAATTGTGCCAAAAATTGAAATATACTTTTCTCCACATTAAATTTTTTCCTACGAAAAAAATTTTCCAGGAATGAGGAGAAGTCTCTGAGACGTCAAAAAAAAGTCTGAGCGATTTTGATTTTGCCCGTAGCTGTGCCGCCACTGAATTATTTCCAGAAACTACAAAGCCTGTTCGTCCTTGATATAGTAATAACTCTGCATTGAAACAGACGGATTCACGGAAATAAGCGACAGTTTTTCGTGATGTACATGTCGTATAACATCCCAGAAACATTATATCATGTTATCAAAATTGTTCGCGATTACAATACTTCCTCGCCCATTAGAGTGGTAAGTACAGAAATATCAAATATGGATCGTTTTGTAATAGTTATGTAGACCTGAAGTGCAAAGCATGAGGATACTTTCAGATTTCTAAAATAATGTAGCAGCTGCTGTTGCTTATTTTTCTAGAAAAAAACATCGTCGTGGAGTCATTCTGGTCTAGACGAACTGAAGTCTCTCAAAACGTAAAATATTTCTGAAAAGTTGCTCTACGAGTATAGTTGGCATACAGTTAACGAGACCATTATGCAATAAAATGTTCGTTTATCGTGAACAAGTGATACCTTACAGATGATGTTATTTTAGTTTCTACTTTTTGCTGTTAGCAATAAGAGTGAAACACTGCAAGAACACTGATTTACAGAGAAAATTCTGGTAATCCATTGCATCCGAATTTTTCCAACTTATCTCTCTATACAGCTGCTCCTGTCCTCTAGTTTTGGGGAAAATTCGTATTTGGCATAATTTATTTGGACAACATAGGTAGCCGAGGTGTATTATAGCTCGACGGCCGAGCAACTGTCACCTCTGCGAGAAAATATTTACCGCTGCAACGAAAACAGTCCGATTTCTGTTGGCTCAAGCGACCGCATTGGTGCGGTTGCTTGTCGCGAGAAAAACACCTGACTTCTGCGGTCACAGCTGACGGGTGCAGGCCCACTGAAAGGAAGCGCAGCGAAAAAAAACAGATTCGGGTCTCTTCCACTGGGTCCCATTGCACATAATCAAATGAGAGTCCGAAAAACTACATCTGTGACATGCCGTTTAATGTGAACAAAGCAAACATTCGCCTCACTTCACTGTGGCTCTCTTCGTATTGCATAAGTAGTCTGAACACAATAGATTTTCCTGCAAGTGCGCATCGAGCTAGCAACCCGGGGATCGCAGGTTCGAATCTCTGCCTCGGAAGTGGATTTCGAGCCACGGATGATGTGTTGTGTGTTGTCTATGTCACGAACGTGGGTGCAGTATTAACGATAGGTACATAGTACCGTTGGTGCAGGTTTATTACATCTGTTACTAGTAGATGGCTCGTGGAGTAGTACAGTGTAGATACCACGAGGTCGGCAATAAGGATCAAAGGTGGTCTAGCTCGTACACTTCACCTTTACACCACTACTAGTATTTCCTGTGAGTGACTTTAAGCTTTCTAGTCTCTATACCCTTACGTCGTATAACGATGTCCGGATAAATTGTGGATGAATTGAGGGTGATCAATCGCTTTGTTTTTGCCCTTGACAGCTCTATTTTTCAACGTTTTAATTAACATCCGGTCTCTTTTCTGTTTGAAAACGCCTATAAACGCAGTACGACTATTGCCGTTTATTTTTTGCATCTGATCTGTATTGACACGACACATTTTACCATTTTTTTTTCAAAACGAATTGTGTACTTTAAGGGAGACTATCCTTACATTAGAGAATATTCCGATGATTGCGGATCGGAAAATAACGGATCTGAAGTCATTCAGCTTCATTTTATTGCCCCCTTAAGGAATTTTAGTAGGACTTTGAATAACAGTTTGGAATGTTTAATTTTTGGAACGAACGAATATATTAGGATGAACCAAGTCTAAACGTCTGCATTGCACTGTTTGTCACCAAAATTGTATAGTTTCAGTGCATACATTTGAATCAGTTGACTGCCAATGCCTACTAAAGTGACAGCCTTATATCAACATAATGATAATACTTACCGGTGGAAGCATCTACCTTCATTAGGCTTATGCCTCTCTTTGCAAATTATGGAAGAAGTACCATGTCTTGAAATCATCTGACACAACAACCACCCGAAGTTTTAGAAAAGAACACTAAACATACAAAGCTGCCAGGTGTACTTGTATTGTGCACTTTGATTCTCACTACAGACTATGCGAACTATGAGACAAACAAATGCTTGACTATAGTCAACGCCATACAAAGTGGCGTGCACGTCATCAAGGTGGGTGTGTTGAAAAATTTACATTGTTGCCAAACTTTTTGTAAAATAATAAAATTTATTATTTACATATCTAGGTTTATAAGCAATATTAACCTCAAATGAGAACAAAAATAATAGTATAATAAAATTATAGATCTGTACTTGCATAATCATTAAGTATGACAATTATTGATCAGATGACACTATGAAACTACCATATTTAATTGATAGCTTAAAGGTACTGAATAAAAATCCAAATGGGGTCCTCCAAATTTTATGCATGGTATTTATTTTACAGAATTCATACAGAAAAATGCATTCTAAAATTAGGTAAGCTACTGGTGTAAGCTTTTTCTGTACAATAAAGTTAGTCGGAGTTTCTTTCTTCAGCGCTGTCTGAATCTGAATCTTCATCACTCTCAAAGTTGATTATTAAAGGTTCGATGTCTGGTCGATCAAAAATTCGTTCTCTTTCATACCATTTAAAAATTTCTTGCTCAGTATGTCGAACACTATTTTTCCACATGTCTGGGGTAACCGTTTGTAGAGCCTCGTTCCACATATCCAAACAGTCTTTTTCACTGTTACCATCTCTACCAATATGTCTGTTATAGTAACCTTTTGCTATGCCCCAAATTAACTCAATAGGGTTAAATATACAATGGTAAGGAGGCAGACGAAGAACTTTGTGCCCATGTTGTTCCGCCAATTCATCAATCACGTATATTTTAGGTGGTTTGTTTCTAAAAAAGCAGTTATTTTAAGAATAGGAATAAACAAAAGAAATATAAACTGTCGACCAAAATATATATAATTAAGAAGCATTATGTACCGAGCAACAATACTCAATAGCTCTGTTTTAAACATTGTGTTTAAAAATGGTATGTTTTGATTTGTCAACCAGTCTTGGATATTTTTTTTGTCCATGCATTGTTGGGCACTTTGTTCAATATCATGCTGTGATAAGGGGCGTTAGCCAGTATAATCATAGATGGACTCTCCAATTTTTCTAATAACTGATGTTGAAACCATTTCAAAAAATTGTCCTGGTTCATCTCTCCATGGTAATCGCTCAATTTTGTTTTCGAAGAAAATATCGCTTCACTACCCTCAATAAACCCATTTTCATTTCCAGCATGTAATATAATGTATCTAAAATATATTAGTTTTA